GATGATAGACCTTCTTAGGTTATATTGTGTGGGTGAATGTAATTAATATAAGTGTTCTAAAAATATATAAAATTCCTAAAAATCTGATATGTCCTGGTGTAATTCTAGTCATTATCTTAAAATGTGTGTTACAGAAATAACCAAATTTCCTTGTCAATTGCATTGTAATCAGATCTTTAACCATGCCATTTTAAGTCTTTTGTCATTTACAAACAGTTGTTTTATTCTGATGCTTTTGAAAATATGTTTCATCTTTAGAGAGATTCATGGAAAGGATTCTGACACATACGCTAGAATACAGGTTTCTGATAAACTTTCAGATCCTAAAAATGAATTGGGTAAGGAATTAACAGAACTCTAATGGAGAAAATTATGGCTTCATAAACTGCTAACAAAAGATCAAGAATTGATTACATGGGACTGAATGAACTGACAAGAATGATTATAATTTTTATGACTTTTTATTTGAAACATTGCTGATTTGTTTAATATTTTGTTTCTCCAGATTTAAGGAAATCTTTTTTCTCTTAAGCTAACTATGACTATAACTATGACAGCAGTTTGGTAAATTATACCTTTGTAAGAAAAATTCATACATGTATCTTTTCTTCGCTGCTTGATCCCTCTAGAATTTAGAAACTTTTAGTGAGTATTCTTATTTTCATGGCAATATATAGTCATTTACATAAGTTCAATAAGAATCTGTTCTCTTTATAACAGGACACAATTGAAAACATTGGTTATCGTGCCAAGGCTTTGACTGGAATGTCATATTTGAGAGAGAATGTGCATAGACTCAGATATGATCAGACACATTTAAGGAACCAAGATTGACTTTATGGAACCAATAAAAAGCCCCTTAGACATATCAGCCTGGTACCTGGCTTATATGGTTCCCAGCAGCCTTACCAGGTGAGTAAGGAAGGTCACTTCCTGGCAGATACAGGAAACTCGATATCTTGGGAACCTCGAGAAGAGAGGAAATCACCCAAATCTATAAGTATTGCAGGGAAGTCTGATGGTAAGTCCTTGGCCTGGTTTCCTGGCCTCGAGAGGTCTTTAAAAGTTCAATCTGGAGATTCCTTATGAAAGGCTCCAGCAAAGCAGATTTAAAAGTCTATACGAGGGGCTGGCCCCATGGTGTAGTGGTTAAGTGCACACACTCTGCCACTGGCAGCCCGGGTTCGGATCCCAGGCGCGCACCAATACACCGCTTATCAGGCCATGCTGTGGCGGCATCCCATACAAAGTGGAGGAAGACAGGCACAGATGTTAGCCCAGGGCCAGTCTTCCTCAGTAAAAAAAAAAAAAAAAAAAAAAGAGGAGGATTGGCATGGATGTTAGCTCAGAGCTGATCTTTCTCACAAAAAAAATAAATAAATAAATAGAAGAGCCTAATTGATCAACTGCTATTCCTATTACACTTATGTAAATAATTGGGCCAAGTTTATTGAAACAACTTATTTCGCAAACAAATTAGTCTTAATTTGGCTATCTTTGGTAGAAATCGGGTTGATTTTAGAGGAAAAAATTATGTTTCAACAGAAACTATATAACACACTTGTGGATATTAGATTCTAGTGCTGTTTATCATCTTTGAGGTTTTGTTTTCCACCTGGAAACTAGACTGGATTCTGAATTCTTCTAGTGTCCTCCAACAGCCGGCTACAAACCTCCAAACTAATGTACCCAATTTTCTTCCACCTTTTGGCTTGAAATCATTGAGAACTAAAACTGCCCTTTTTCCTGAAGCCCTACAAACTGAAGCTGAACAACTTGATATAAATTTTAGAGAAATCACCCCAATGGCTTACGTACGCACAATCTTTATACCTGTTGCTGTATGGGCCACTCAGAAAGATCATCAGAGACATTCAAACTGCAAACTAGGAAAATCTGTCAGACCGCCCTCAATCCATCTGAAAATGCTTTGAGCCGGACATCGAGAAATCTCAACTGGCTGCCTTTAGAACTCCGAAACTGAGATTATAATCTGCTCCAATTATTAACCATGGTTTTTCTTTTGTTTCCATAGAAATGCCTCTTATTAAATACCTAATTGCTTGCACCATAGGCCCAACCTTGGGAGGGCACCTGCATCACCACCTCCTGAAATTGAACACTACTGTTTAACTGGACTGACCTATTCTCTAAACCAAGAGACTGGTTCCATGTGATGGAGCAATCTACCAACCCAACTTCTAGACTGTGAAACTTCTCATGAAGTTTCAAAGGCAGGATGACAGCAGTTCAGAACAGGTCTCCCAAGATGTGCCACTTTGGCATATGGAATATTTCAAGGTAAAGGCAATCAGGACCCTGCAGGCTCAAGAAACTTTTACCTTTCCCTTAAAGAATTTAAATTGAGGCCTTGCCCATAATAAGAGTTACTACCAGAAATAACTTTTTATGACCTATCTGTATGGCAGGGCAAACCTCTAATTACTGAACATCTGCTCTTCTTAGCAACCCCTGAATTACCCTCCTACCTCTGAAGCCTCAGGCCACTATCCCATTCCTTAGCTCAAGATGGCATATATACTTCACTTTACCTTTCTGTCTCTGAATCGCTCATGTATGTGGGGTCTCTGACCCTCTCATGTATGTGGGGTTCCCATACATATAAAATTTATTAAATTTGATTTTCTCCTATTAATTTGTCTCATGTCAATTTCTTAGACAGCCAGAAGAACCAAGAGAGTAGAGGAAAACTTCCTCCCCTACAGGGGACAATCAAACTCTATAATGTGATATATACAACACACAGGGACAATGGTGAGGAACTCAGTGGGTAGCTGGGAAAATGGAGAGATGGCCATTGGATAAAGGATTAAAGAGAGCCTTAAAGGGCTTTGGAAGGACACAGCTACAGCTGAGGTGAGAGAAGGAAGGACTAGAGGTATGACTTAATATGAAAATAACCAAAGCTAATAAAATGCACTGTGGCTCCCGTTCATCCTAGCAACCTAGAAAACAGAGAAGGGAACAGACTACTTAGAAACTATCAAAAAACTAGTATTGTGGATAAGCAGTATTTGAGTTTGTTCAGAACTAATACAAATGTAGCAAAAACCTACATCTTGGTCCCTCTAGCCCACACAGGCCATTCTTGGACCATATGAAGGCTAGTTGACAGAACTCAAAAGAACAGTTGCTATGACTCAAGTAGTCTAGACTATATATGGCCCCTTTATTTCTCTTCTTTTCTATTTCTTTTTATTTTTCTTTATGTGTCTGCTTATGATTTTGGTCAGCCATGATACCTAATAGTGTCCACTGGCACCGCTTAGCTCAGTGAAGTTAAAGGGCAGGGGACATTCAAGGCTCAAGGTAAAAACTCCCTTAATAGGGCCAAAGCTTTTGGTGCCAGGAAGTTACCTTACTGTTTTAAGGCTGATAACGAAGCATGGAGATAATTAACATTCGTTGGTGACCCACTATACACTTTATATACATTATTTATTTTGATCCTCACAATAATCTTGCAGGTAAGAAAATGGTTCAGAGGGGCTGGGAAAAAATGTCCAAGGTCATAAAGTTAGTAAGTGGTGACTGCTGGAATTTAATAATAGTAATGACAGATAGCATTGTTTTAGAGTTTACTTGTGCCACAGTTCTAAGTGCCTTACATGAATTAACTTACTTAATCCTCACTGCAACCCTATGATTTAGGTACTATTATCCCCATTCTACAGATGGGGAAACTGAGGCACAGAACGAACTGTGGGTCACACAGCTAATAAGTAGTAGAACAAAGGTAGGCAGTCCAATTCCGGAGTCAATGTTCTTAATCACCATATCATACAGGATTTGAACTCAGATCTTTCTAAATGCAAAACTCATGCACTTTCTACTACCCCATACTGTGACCTGGTAAAAGTAATGTGGATGGCATAACAAAAAAAGGAGTAACATATGTCGGGGCCTCTAAAATAGAACTGGGAGGCCATTAAGGAAGTGGGGCTTACGCAGGTACAACACACCTCTAACCAGTTGGAATGTAATTTTTGAACTGTACCTCCTGTTGTTATCTTGACCTTCCTTTAAGAAAAATCCTTACTCCCCTAAATAAGAACTTTTTGCCTTAGAGATGGCCTTAGCAGCCAATCACGTGTAACAAAGAAATAACAGCTGTTGCCAGCAGCAATCACAAGTCTTGCAAAACAACCTGCATGACTTATCTCTTTTTGTCTTTATAACTCCTGGTCTTCTCTGTCTTCTCCGGAGCACATTTTGGGTTTCTACCTGAATCTGTGTTTCCCAAATTGCAATTCTAATTGCCCAAATAAATATCTCCTATTTAAATTGCAGTGGTTCTTTCCCCTGTCGACAGTAACTTTACCACCCATAAATCGCTCTAATTCTATTCAGGGATGTCTTACCTCTAAGAGCTAAGGGGAGCTCTGGGAACTCCACAGCTGTTAAACTCCTGCATCCCCAGCTCATCCCTGAATCACCCATCTGGGGAGACAAGCCCAGCTCCCTGGGGCTGAGGGAATCCACGGTCCAAGTCCCAACCTTCATTCTGATGCCTTCAGACGCTAGGGATGGCCCTGGGGTCAAGGCCTAGAGACACCCGGCGGATGAGTGTCTGGGATGGCACGGGTCACACCCCCTCTTGTTGGGTTTCTGGGTCCCCGCATTAGGCCCACTCCAATTCTGGGGGCTGAGTGCCGGGCATACTAAAATCTACAGTTTTCAAAGACTGAACTGCAGGCGCTGCTGTACGAAACGCTCCCCTCTACTCTCCAACCCCAGCCCATGGAAACCCGCTCTCCTCCTGCCCCGCACTTCTCCACCGGCCTTGGCCCAGCCGAAGAACGATCGTTGACTGAACACTCACAGTCCACACCCGAGACGCGGCCCCTCCCGGGAGGAAACCCCTAGCATCCCACACACGAGACCTCTAAGCGTGCTGGCCCCCAGCGAGACGCGGCGGTTCCCACCACAGTAGCTCCGCAGCTCACGGCGTCGCGCTTCCGGGCGGGCGGCCGGCGCGCTCCAATGACGTCACGGGGCCACTTTCCGGCCGGTGGCAGAGTCGGGCTGAAGTTGTGGGGGTCGGGGGCGCCATGGGGGCCACTGGCGACGCCGAGCAGCCGCGGGGACCTGGCGGGGCAGAGCGGGGCGGCCCCGAGCTGGGAGACGCGGGCGCAGCGGGGCAGCTGGTTCTCACGGTGAGGGCGCCCCCGGGGAGGCCAGGGCCGGGGCTAGGCTCGGGCCGGGCGGGGCCTCGGGCTCCCGGGACCCCGGCCCGCGGGCGAGAGAACGCGGCGGCTGGTGCTGCCGAGGGGGTTGGTGTTTTCGCCGTCCGACGACCTGAATTCAAATTCTGGTGCCGCCCTGCTGGCTAGGTGACGTGGGCCGGTCCTGTCAACCCCCGAGCTCCAGTGTCCTCTTCTATAAAATGGAGATGATCAGTGCCAGCCTCATAAACTTGTGGGGATGGGATATAAATGCGGGTAGAGCGCCCGGCACGTCGTCTCCCACAGAGTAGGCCCTCGGTAACACTGGTTCCCGTCCTCCAGCCCTTCCTGAAAAGGTGGGGTTGGGACTTGAGAAGCAAAAAACTTTTCGTCGGTTCCTCGTCCCTGGCAGGGCCTTCCAGCCACCGCCCTCCCGCCTGCGCTACGGTGGGAGAGGTGGTGAAGGCAGCTGAGAAGCAGGGATGTCTAGGTTTAACTTCATATCCACCCGCCACCCCCACCCCAGTGTCACGGGCCTCAGTGACATCTCCCTTGGTCCCCACAGAACCCTTGGAACATAATGATAAAGCACCGGCAGGTGCAGCGAAGGGGCCGCCGCTCACAGATGACGACAAGGTAAGGCTCGCTGTGGGTGGGACTTACCTCCCAGGCACTGGCTTGGATGGCAGTTTGGGGTCCCCGCTGCACAGGGCTGAGAAGAGATCGTCAGCCAGTAGAAAGAGCACTGGACTAAGAGAGAGGAGTCTCAGATTCTGTAACTCTATGTGTGACTTGGAGCAAATCCCTTCCCTCTCTGAACTCATGAACAAAATGAGGGAGAGGGTTCAATTAAACGATGCTTAAGATTCCTGACACTCACTGGCTCCATGGTTGAGGGCTCTAGAGAGGCAGAATAGGGTGGAGGTTAAGAAAAAAGTGAGGCTGATAGTAGCATCCATTGCAGAGAAGGGAGAGAGCACAAGATGGACCTTTGGGATGCTGATTATGTTTCTTGACCTGGGTAGTGATTAAATGGATGTTCATTAAAAGTGTTGGTTGGAGCCGGCCCTGTGGCATAGTGGTTAAGTTCTGCTTTGGCGGCCTGGGTTCGCAGGTTCGGATCCCAGGCACAGACATACACCACTCATCAGCATTGCTGTGACAGTGACCCACATACAAAATAGAGGAATAGTGGCACAGATGTTAGCTCAGGGCTAATCTTCCTCAAGAAAAAAA